AAAGAAATCTTCCAAAAGAAAAATGCAAATGAAACTAACCTTAGAGAGTGCAAACGGCAGAAAGTATTGCAAAGCCACTGGAAGGAAGATATTTCGCAAGAAATCGCCGGAGAGGATTCAAACAGCAAAAGGTGAGATGGAGACGGTAAAGAGGATCGATGGAGAATCAATGGAGCTTATAAAGACGAGAAGATCCCAAGGGCCGAGGAGTCAGGAAAGTGATGGGTTGTCTCGTTGAATCTCGAAGCGCCGACCCCTGGATCTAACCGTCCATTCTCCCACACGATCTCCTCGAGCCGTCAGGTCATCATTAGCAGCCACTAATAATTATCTCCTAATCAATAAAGGGTAATTATGGGGGCAGTTGAGGATGCGGCAAATGGCATGGGCCGGATATGGTTCGCGGGAGTGAGATCGGGTCGAATGATTGAAATAGGATCCATGACAAAGCGCCTAAGAATGGGCCGAACCTGAGGGATTCACCGAGAAAGGTCAAGTCCCTTGGAAGACCAAGCCCAGAAGGAAGAAAGCTTTCGAATATAGGTCCAATGTAATTGGTTAGTAGCAATAAGGGTGATGGCTTATAAATAGACCATGACAGGTAGAAAGTTAGGGGAGACTGCTAGAGAGAGGGAGAGAGGAAAAAGAACCGAAATCTTGTATCTTCAATGTGCAACGTAATATTTTTATTCTTCATAAAGCCTAACAAGTAAGATTAATAAAAATGTCGTAATATAAACAAAAAAATTATAGAGGTTGATGAAGCTTTTGAAAGGTCATTTCCCCCCCCTCTCTCTCTCTCTTCCCCCCGTATAATACACACAAACAAAAATATACATACACTCCATATAACTTATTAATGCGTGCATGCTATCAATTATTGCACTGACCTTAAAAGCATGACATTTGTTGCTCTGCTACCCCCATATTTACCGATCACCACCATTCCATGTTATATTATTAAAGTCTGCATAATGGAGTTACTTTCAATTGTGGCAATGACCTTAAAAGCATGACATGTGTCCACAATAAATACAATATACTTGCCTTTGTCCACCTTATATATGTATATATTGACACCTATATATTTAAATATCGCCGGTCAACCCGATACCACATGCGTTCAACTCAAATCCCCGTTCAATTTGGGTAGATTTTTATTTATTAACTTTGATTAAGTTCAACGTGATCCAATTATACTCGAATTTATTAAGTTACATTGGGTAAAATTAGTTTATAATAAAAAGCTTTTTTCTTATTTGTTTTTTCTTTCATGATGTGACATCAATATAGTAGTATTGTAAAACAATTTGACTTGTTATTACAGTTGTGATTTTCATTTTCAAATTATAATAATGTAATGTGGAAAATTATGTCATGTCGTTTGTCAAGATCTAATATATATATATTTTTAATTATATAAAAGTCAAATATCAACAATGGTTGCAATGATTGAAACACATAATACTATTATTAGTATGTGTGCGTTTCAATCACTCCTCCACAACTTATATTACACCTTGAAAAAAAAAAAACAAAAGGATAATGGCTCTTATAAAAAGGGAAACTTAATAAATATTTAATTTGCAAAAAAATAAAAAAATTTAATAGCATACTAAATAGTACTCCTACCATGCATTCATATATAATCAATCTGACTTATATGCGTATAAGCATCATTTTATATGTAGATAAAAGGAAAAAATTCAATTAAACACACATAATATTCACTTAGTGACGAGTGTTTGTTATCTAATGTTATAATTTAGTGATATCTTCTTAATTTTTTAAAATAAAAATAGTTTTGATTTGAAATCCTAATGGATAAATGTGTGCACGAGATGAATATTTTATCCAGTGACCTAATTAGTATAACGCTTAGCTCTTCAAGCGATATGTCCATTCTCTCTCTCTTTTAATTTGTCAGGACAAAAAAAGTATTCATGACCTTGCTCCTGAAAGATAAAAATGTAAGGAAGAGGAGGAGGATGTGATGACCTTGTGGGTGGGTGCGAGAGACACTGTCAGGCTACCACACTGGCGAAGTACGGGTGTACAATCTCATATCGCCTGGGTAGAGGAAAGGTGAAGTGCTTATATCTAAGTGTATCACCTCCAGTTGGTATGAGGCCTTTTGGGGTGAAGTTCAAGAGCAAAATCGTGCGGACTCAGGCCCAAAGTGGACAATATCATAGCATGTGATGGAGTGGGTCGTTACAATGATATTAGAGCCTGACCCAGCCGGAAGTGTGCCGACGGGGACGTCGGGTTTCTAAGGGGGGTGGATTGTAACGACCTTGTGGGCGGGTGTGTCGTGGGCGGGTGCGAGAGATACTGTTAGGCTACCATACTGGCGAGTTACGTGTGCACAATCCCACGTCGCCTGGGTAAAGGAAAGGTGAAGTGTTTATATATAAGTGTGCCACCCCCAATTGGTATGAGGCCTTTTGAGGTAAAACTTAAGAACAAAATCATGTAGATTTAGGTTTAAAACGGACAATATTATACCATGTAGTGGAGTAGAGGAGTACGGAAAAAAGTAATCATGACCTTGCTAACGAAAGATAAAAACTGAGGAGGAGGAGGACAAAAAGTGAAGTATTCATGACCTTGCTATTGAAAGATAAGAACTGAGGAGGAGGAGGAGGAGGTGGTGGTTTATCCATTAAATAATTCCATTAAGAATAAATAAAAATGAAATTCCTGGTTAGCATGTGAGATTGACTGCAAGATATTTCTTGGATAGATAGAAGGATCAAAGACGAAAAGTAAGACAGAGATGTGATTGGACATGACACATGCCTGGTTGAAAGGGAAGCTGCAGAGCTAATTATGAGTCAAATCAATATTTTTCTCATGCTTATCTTCTAAATTTCCAATGATATTCCCCAATTAACTTTTTTTTTCCTTTGCCCAATCACATCGTTACACGTATCCATTATTGGTCATTAATAGTCATGATGAGTCAGCATTCTTTGTTCTGAATTCATACTATCAATTAATCCCTAATTTGTAATTTCATATAGTCCCACAAAACTTTTGCACTTTGGCCCCTCTACCTGACTTTAGTTTATTGATAAGAAAATAAGGGTATGTTTGGCAACTATATTTTTTATTTGAAACATAAATAATTTTTATTATTGTGGAGTGTGTTCAACAATGCATGAGTTGCTCTCTATAGTATGAAGTTCATGTTCAAACCTTATAACTTTGTCACTCATCTAATCACTAACATAATAAAGAAAACATGCATGCATGTTTTTAAATATTACTCTTTTTAATTATCCATTTTGTATACTGTGATTTATATGTAAGTTACAGTATACGAAGTGGACAATTAAAAAGAAATGAAAGGAGTACATTGTTTTAGTTGCAATACAAATATTACGCATGTATCCAACCATTCATTATTGTACCGATAACACATACCGCGTCATGTGAAAAAATAAAAAAACCTAGGATCCTCTCAAATAGATATATATATTTTTTAAGCATGTAATAAACATATCCAACCATTCATTACTGTAGACGGATAACATAGACGGTCGGAATGCACCTGTTTCGCATTGTACGGCACAATAAAGTTTTCCTCCACAAACATGCCGCAGGGGACGTTTGCATGCACCAAGCCACCTTCTATCAAAAGTTCAAACCGACGACCATAATAAGTCAAGAAGCAGCAGACAGACCCAATAAACGTGGGACTAAAATCGACCATTGTTGAACACGCGCCATATGAAAGAATAAAAGACCTCGGATCCTCTCAAATCTAAGATGCCAAGGAATTAGGCCCTTTCACGTGCGTTTGTCAACTATGTTTTATTGGTCAATCTGGTTTTTCACAACTCAAAATTGTGTATGATCCTCTATAAATTCTAAGAGAAGAGTAAATTTTTTTTTTTTTGGGAAAAGATGATAAACTCTCTTTTAATCAATTGCATTATTATTATTACTATTAACTTAAATGACAAAATATTTTTCTACTCATGACTTAAAAATAGTTTTGTTATTTCATTTTAAATTTTACTTTAATAAGAGTGCAGTGCATTTGATTAAAAAAAAACAAAACAAATATATCAACCACACTTTATTTTTATTTTTGAAAGGTCATAAGAGTCTATATATACTAATTATATAAATATAGATTAGAGAGTAATGTCATCTCTAAATAGAAATCAGTTATAGTTAATGGTCCAAAATATCTTCTTTTATAAATAAGATACAAAAAAAATAAGATCAATTAAACAATAAAAAATGGTTAATAAATACATTCATTGAAGTTTTATATGTCTTAACAATATTTATTTGTTATATAGATATTTTTTTGTTTTACTAATTCAAGTTTCATGAACCTCTCCCAATTTTTACTAGGTAGTATTATTTTTTCAAAATTCACCTCCGCTCTTTAGATGAATTAGACCCTCTCTATATTTACGGTTTTAAAAACAGTCTGTACAAATAAAAGGCATGCCTTTATTTTTTCCGAAATAACAATACATATTACTTTTTTCATCTCATAATAATAGTCCATTATTCTATTTTTTACATGTCTCAAATTAATTGTCCTCTTTAAAAAGTCAAAACAAATAAGTTTTATATTTTCATCATTGTCTTTTATCTTTTTAAAAAATTTTAAACTTTGTAACTATATATATTTAAATTAAAAGAGACAAATTGATAATTTAAAAAAAAAAATATATATTAAATACACGTTTTCTTAAAAATTTTAATTTTTAAATATAAACTTTTAATATGTGACAGAGAGTATTAGTGTTTTATTTACGTTATGTTTGTGAATTGGTCCGTATTAAATGTAGTTGAGTGGAATGGAAAATCACTCCTATATCTTTTTCATTTTCTTTTTTTTTTCTTTTCTTTTCTTTTTTTTTTTTTTACAGAGAAACAAGTTTCTAAAAAAGCTATTGTCTAATTATTACTCCCTAGTACAATAAAATAATTAATAAAACAGATTGGATAGAATCTCTATAAAGACTCTTTCTAGTGGCATTCAATCCAAATCTCCTCTATCGCCTCCTCCTCTCCCCCTTTCTCTCTCTCTCTCTCTAACCCACCTGACCGCTCCTCTTCCTTTTTCACCCTCCTATTCCCACAGCACAGAGAGATGGAGCTTGGCTTAACCTTAGGTCACGCATCAAAGCCATTTGGCTTCTTTCCTAAAGATCAAGAAATTAACACCACGACCAATGTTCTAGCTTTCCCATTAGCCTTAGGTATCATCTCTAATGGAGGAAAACAACAACAGCAACAACATCATGAGAATGATGAAGACGATGATGAATCAGAAATCAGAAGTACAAGAAACATTAGTCACGAGCAGAGAGTCTCCATCGAGCTCGATCTCCTCCCTCTCGCTCCAGTTCCCCGTCACGCATGGCCGCCGCCTTCTGATACTGGTAAAACACATAGTGTGGTGTATTGTGTCTTATATATGTATGTATATATTTGGCTTGTGGGTTGATTTGATCGATTTTGATGTGGTGGTTGTTAAAATAGGGAGTTCGGAAGGGGGTTCATCCGGAAATACGGGTTTTCCGGCGATTGCGATGGCGGAGGAAGTGGCGGCGCCGACTTCTCCCAACAGTGGAGCGTCGTCGTTTCAGATGGATTATTGTATCTACAGAGGCGGCGGAAATATTAGTGGGAACAAGAGAGACGCAGAGGGTATTGTTGTCGGAAACGACGTCGTGGAGGTGGAGAGAGCGTCGTCCAGAGCCAGCGACGACGACGAGAACGGTCTGAGTCGGAAGAAACTCAGACTCTCTAAGCAACAGTCTGCTTATCTCGAAGAAAGCTTCAAAGAACACAACACTCTCAATCCCGTAAGTTCTATATAGATATAGATAGATAGAGAGTCCCTTTTGGATTTTGTTTACGATGGGTTTTCATTTTTGGTGCAGAAACAAAAGCTTGCACTTGCTAAACAGCTTAATCTTCGTCCTCGCCAAGTTGAAGTCTGGTTTCAGAACAGAAGAGCAAGGTATATATATTTATATATATTATGTTTGCTAGTTTTTGTGTTTGTGTTTTAAGTTAGTCCAGAGAATTAGATGTACAGAAGAATCTTATGTTTTTGAATAATTTATGAATCAAGTAGTTTCCGGTTTTAGACCGGAATTTGAATCTCGGGTGTGGGGATCTGATAAGTAATGTGAAAATAATTACGTAAATGTAATGGCACATGATGCGACACAGTGTAGAAATGAGTCAAATGACACCCGAGGTGATTCGGGTTTCTCGGGAGCTATACTCCCTAAAACTTTTGCAATACAGAAGTAATGCTTCCTAATTTGACAAAGTGACCAACTGGCCAGATTCATTTTCATTTGTTGTTAATTATCTCATTAATAATATTAATTGATTTTGTTTTTAAAATAATTTTCTACTGGCATGTCTGTTTTCACGTGCAATCTAAGGTTGTGAAATTTGGATTTTGATGGAGTATAATTTAATATGTGTTTTATATATAGGACGAAGTTGAAGCAAACAGAGGTGGATTGCGAGTACTTGAAGAGGTGTTGTGAGACACTGACGGAAGAGAACAGAAGGCTAAACAAGGAGGTCCAAGAGTTGAGAGCTTTGAAGACATCGAATCCATTTTACATGCAACTTCCAGCCACCACTCTCACCATGTGCCCCTCTTGTGAGCGTGTAGCCACCACTACCTCCGCCTCCACCACTGCCCCTCCAGCCACCACCACCACCTCCAACCCCACAGCCTTCTCTCTCTCTAGACCCAGGTTCTATCCATACTCTCACAGTACCCAAAACAATCCCCACCAGTCTGCTGCCTCATGAATTTGAAGACACTACTTTTTAGAGTGAGAAACCATTCAACAACCACTTTGTTAATGTTATGCAAATATTTGGTGTGTGTAAATAGTCAAAGTGCTTGTTGGGTGCCTAAAGAGGGTACACCTTGACCTATTGGTATAGTTGCTTGCTTGGGAATCTGTTTCCGATTCCAAATCCGAAACAATTTAGAGATAAAGATTGTGCACATCTGACACAAGATGCGAAATGCGCTGAGGAATGCTCTGAATTAGCCCTTTCATGCACGCATTTGTTGGATGATAAGTTCGCTTGATGTTATGGTTTTGTCAAGTTAGGACTTTTAGCTCACTTGTGAATTTTGTGGGTTAGAATTTATATCTTAGAAAGAAAACAAAAAAGGAAGTTAAGAATTAGATTATTAGAGGAATTTCCCTGATTTTCCTTCATTTTCTTGGGAAGTAAAGTTGGGAAGAAAATATTACTAGAAAGTTTTTGTTTAATTAATTTGATTGTTGTTTGATGACGATGTTATTAAATTAAGGTTTTGTGGTTTGAATTGAATTTGAGTCTGTACGTGGTTCAAGACATTGCTTTAAGAAAGGGGCAAACTAGTTGTGGCCCCGTTTTCAATGATTTCATTCAAACTACATTCATGAGGAGGCGTGGGTGGTGGTGGGGCGGGGAGATAAAGACTGATCGGGGACAAGTTTGTCATATTAATCAATGTGTCGGCCAAAGTTGGGTACCCTTTACAACAAAACAATTATGAGTACACACGAGCTAAGTACAAAACTCATAATGACTGACTGCTAAGGTTGTATGGCACGTGACTTCTCACGAGACATGTCTCTTCTCATTACTTTACACCTAAACCACTTGCCTAATTTTTAAACCCATTTGTTTCAATTATGCGACCCAAGTGAGAGTTCCATGGTAACTATTCAACGGTTAAGTACGGATCAAAGGGCTCAATGGTTCAATCTCTGTCCCTTAAAGGTGTACGACGATAATTTGAATATATTGTGAATAATAGGTGTACGTATATGTTTTTGTTTTTATTTTTATTTTTATTAATTTTTTATTTTAAAAAGTCTCCATTTATGCTCAAAATGTAAAATTTCAAAGGTGGAGAAAAATTATTGCAACACTAGTTTTCATTCTGTTTGAATGAAGAAATGATTAAAATGTTATCAAAATTATATATATTTTAATAGTTTAAATTTTTAGAGCAGATTTCATAGAATCCAGTATACCACATGCATGAAAGGGTGTCCCGTTCTGTTGTTATTGGGTTTAAAGAATATCGTATGATCCTAGTAGGGTTTGAGATAGTTTTTTTTATTTTTTATTTTTTAAAGGGAAAATTACATATAAATGGAGTCAAAGTTCCATATTTACTTAGAGATTGAGTCAAAATTCCATATTTCTCTAAAATGGATTGCTGAGGTGGCACATGATTTTTTACTGTTTAAAAAATTATGGTGCCTAAAATGCCCTTTCCTAACAAAAAAGTAGTACATTCAGTTCAAAAAAGTAGTACATTCAGTTCAAAAAAGTAGTACCTTCGCGGTGTTTAAAAAACATGGTACCTGGACGCCAAAAAGTAGTACCTTCAGTTCAAAAAAGTAGTACCTTCGAAGAAAAAGTAGTACCTTTCCGGAAGGGTATTTTAGGCACCACAATTTCTAAACAGTAAAAAACCATGTGCCACCTCAGCAATCCATTTTAGAGAAATATGGAACTTTAACTCCATTTATATGTAATTTTCCCTTTTTTAAACCTATGATCTTTAAGTCATAACAATGCAACTTAATAGTTGAGTAAGGTCACAACAGTGCAACCTAACCGTTGAACTAATTTATAAAGTGGTGCGGTCAAATTTTTAGAGGGACGATGGTTGATCAGAAAATTAAAATTTGAGAGGATGGTTGTAATTAAAGTTCATCTCATTCACCGTTTGACAATTGAATATGGACAGAGCAAAACAACCCTCCCAACAAACACTTTTCTTGTAATTAGGGCAGCTCCAACACACCAAGTTTCATTCTTCAGTATTGCATCCATTGGCTGCCTGGCCGGCTCTCCATTGCATGCTATGTGAGATCATCGGAGCACAAAGACGTGAGAGGTTTTCAAACTGAATAAGTTCGACAATTTTGACTAATTTATATAACGAAAGTTATCATTATTTAATATTTGTTATATTATAATAATATCAACCCTTACCCGTACAAAATTAATCAAATTTATCTGACAAACTCTATCGGTACTCTTATAGTCTTATACTCCCTTTGTTTCAAAGAGACTTACTTTTTTTTTTGGGACAAAAAAAAACATGATACATACATCACGTATATATAACCTATCATGTCCCATTTCACAAATCATTTTTGAGAATTATAAGGTGGTAAAAGAGGACATGACCTAATCACCCGAATGAAAAGTTGAAATGACATTAATTATTACATGTCCTCTAATGATTTTTGTTCCGTGATTGCATATGCATAAGCATCTCTTAATTATAAAGTCAAGTATAGGAGTATCTCAAATTTCTTTCTTGGAGACAAAGACAACCATAATTATTTTGTCATTCTATTTATTAAAAATTTAAGTTTAGTGTAAATACAGAAAACTCTGTGAAGATTATTATTATTATTATTACTTTTTTTTTTTGCAAAAATGTGTTTGATCATATATATATATATATATATATATATGCCATCTGTTTATTTTTTTTAAATTTTGTGTGGAGTTAGTGTCCATCATGGTAGGATCCACGTGTTAGTAAAGAGTTACACGTGTCATAAACGTCAATCCCTTGCTTTTTCATTTTCATATATATATATATATAAATCAAGGGCTTTGTCTTTGGTGGTAGTTCAAAAGCTCGTGAAATGGAATATGGAAAATGTTTATGATGCTGTGCCCACTTTGTTTGTGGTTTGACAATGTTGTCAAAAATCATTATCTTGTGTTAGAAAATCAAAGAAGACTATTTTTTCAGAATGACGTGGGGAAGTTTTATTTTCCCTTTTTTGACCTTTTCAACAACCAATTATATTTACCGACATAAAATTATTAATCTGAGAATCTTTATACTAGGATCATATCACCCCTTTTATGAAGAAAAAATTGAAAAGCTTTAGAAGCCTCTCTATTTTAGGATATGGTTGAGGTTTCTTCACTAGGCAGAGATTAGAATAATGATAAGATACTTAGAAATGGTTGAAAATTTCATAACTCAAAAACTTAAACATTATATCAATTTTAGACGGTTAGCTCTCATCTTCTTACCATCACTTTAAAAGAACGATCACATTTTTTAACCTAGGACTAATTAGTATGATATTCTTTTGTACACTCTCTTATCTACATTTTATTTATGTAAATTAGTCGGAATTGTCCGGCTCTTATTGTATAGGACAATAGAATGTATTTCTGGTGGAGGAAGAAAAAGAAAATGAGAGAGAGAGAGAGAGTAATTTAAACAAGAAAATCATGCAATTTGTGGTGAATTGGAGGTCCACATTGAAGGCGCCATTTACCATACGCAATTTGTGATGAATTTGACTTTTGATGGGAAACACTTGGGAGAAAAAAAGCCCTTTGACTATAAGAAATATTTCAAACCTCATTCTTTTCCGTTGAATTACAGAAAGTAAAAGAATGATTCTCATTGAGAATTTAAGATTGTAAAAGGCGAGTCTAAGAAATTTAAGATTTCTGGTTGGTAGTTCGTAAGGTCACTATATACATGATTAGTATATATATAATTATAATGCCGAGAAAATAAACATGTTCGGAGGTCTTTGATGGGGTATTCTTTGGTTTAGATTGCTTGAGACATTATTTAATATTTCACCAATGGGACCATTGAATACTTGAATGTACAAAATGCAACTAATTTGAAAATTGGTGCAGTTTATGTAATTATAACTCTATTTTTATAAGGAAAATGGTTGAGCCTCTTAATTCGGAGAATGTCAAATGAGAGGGAGAATGTCAAACGAGAGTGATTTGTGCAGTTTAAGTAATGGTACATCTGAGTAAGAGCGTGAGCCCCACGTGGAGCATTTATTCGACATCCTCACTCATTTTCGTGCCAATGGGTATTAATCAGAAGGTACTCCAAAAGATAATTAGGTCCGTGTGTTCAAGTCCTGGAACATTGTGAGTGAATGCGCGTAAAACAAGACCTCTGTGTTTCACCAATTTAGGTTACAAAAGAAAAAGGCAAGGGAATTCTATGGGCCTGGAACCATATAGAACTTACACATACAGCATACGTTTATGGTAGTGTGTGTATATATATATATGTATGTATAATACACACTTTTCTTCTAATTCGAATAATATACTACCACTGAATCAAGTACAATCTAACAAAGGATACAACTACAATTACATAATACACACATTGAACCTTCATACAACAATTGTACAACTAAAGGGCAACGAAGGATTTCATTGAATAACAAGTCAAACTTCCATATGGTAAATATTGGTATCCTCAAGTTCTTCCTAAAAGCACCACTCATAACAAATTAAACATCAATGTAATATCCAAACACACTCAATAGAACTATTGGCAACGATTACAACATCAAGTAAATTTGAACAGATAATAATAGTAAGTAGACTAAAGACTGCAACTATAAAGCTAAACAACAGTTTAAAAGTAAACTCGTTCAAGTTTGAGAAGTTGCTAATGGTGCTCCTTTCTGTTGGTTGCCGCCAACTTTCCACTCGCATTATGCCACCAAAATTTGAGTGCCTCGGCCCTCAAATCTGCACTTGTAGTGGTGAGGGAGCGAAATATCCCGTGTCAGGTCATATTGGTGTTCGTCATCTGTCAGTAGCCAATGCCATTTCTGAAATGTTGCTCTACAAGTGGGGATGGAGAAGAGCAAACCTAGTTGTAACGTTGCAATTCGTTGTAGCAGCTATTCACTTAATCTGCAGGCAAAACATCAAAGTAGATAGATTCATGTATGCAGTATATAGTGTCCAAATAGAAATTGGTAGTCTAAGAAATACTCCATGCACAGTATCAATAATCATAAACTCCTTTTCTTTCCTTTGTTTTCTTTTCATTTTTTCTTCCTGGTGTGGTTTGAGAATTGTAGTGGTTGTGGCTGTTAAATATAAAAACAAAGTAGTACACTTCGAAGTTTTTGAAAAACATTTAACTGTGGAGCTCAACGGTAAAAGGCTCGTGTTCTAGCTTCCAGCAGATGCTATTTTAAATACCGTGTTGCATTTCTCCCAGGATGGATTGAATGATGGATCTAAAGTTTCAAAAAATTTCACAATTTCTATGTGATGTATTGCAAACTTATATTTCAACTTAGTTAAAATAATTAATTTCTCATATTATATGTCAAGTTATTTAGTGCATGCATATACTAAAGAAAATAGGATCACTAAATTGTTAAGTATCCGCAACACTTGAGCTTGCATAATTGATAATACCATCATACGCCATGACTCAGTGAGAGTTTTAAGTTTTAACCATACCAATATACCCAAAAGCGTATTGGTATGTTTAACAGAAACTAAAC